CTAACTATCCCACCAAGAAAAAGAAGAAAGATTTCCAGCGCTGCGAACAGCAGCGAAACCTTGCTGTGACCTCAGAATAACTCTCTGTCGAGGTGAAGGAATGGATTAATTCACCAACAGTTGATGGCATCCACATGAATCAGTATATTTTCGTTTTCACGACTTTCACTGCATGTTGCCCATCTATGATGACCAAAGCCAATTATGACTAATTAATGAAGAATTGAGTGAGAATGAAAATCTCGTAATGGAAGCACGCGATTGCATGGTCTTCTCTCCGCCTTGCAGGAACGGGCAGGCTGACCGTGACTCCCTCCGTGACTCCCTCCGTGACTCCCTCCGTGACTCCCTCCGTGACTCCCTCCGTGACTCCCTCCGTGACTCCCTCCGTGACTCCCTCCGTGACTCCCTCCGTGACTCCCTCCGTGACTCCCTCCGTGACTCCCTCCGTGACTCCCTCCGTGACTCCCTCCGTGACTCCCTCCGTGACTCCCTCCGTGACTCCCTCTTCAAGGGAAGCCGATCGAGGCGAGCGGAAAATCCCCAGCCCAAGTCATCCTCAGGCAGATGAAGAAAAATCACATTCCACATGAAAATTTCACAAAATTTCACCAGGAGACAACCATTGTGAATGCGATCTCGCTCTTCCTTCGCGGTCGGTTAATTCAGAGACGAATCATTCCTTGGAGCGTTATTACTTAGCATTTCATCGAACGCATCGAAGACGATCGAAGTTCCTTTTCGTCTAAGATCGATACAGCTCCTTATATCACGGTGAATTTCGACTACTTTTTGCGGCCACGTACGTATTAGACCTGATTGTACGATATCGATGTCGCGCTGTATTTCCGCTCGTCCTTCGCGTTTCCAATGGCTCATCTGATTTTTGTGGGCTCGTCCAGAAAAGGGAATTCCTTATTCGGGAGACAATGGTCTCTCTGCACTTCGTCAGACTCGGATGCGGAAGAGGAGTGTTTCATTTTCTTTCTTGCACATCGGTCTTGCAAGCCCTGCGACTGGATTCACCAGAAAAAAATTATTTCTAGGTCATTTCCCACGTATTCCTAGTTTCAATGTGAATGGAATCTGGTTCATCTGTGCTCCTACGATGACCTCACTGTCGAAACTCGCCCCGTCGGGGGCTGCAGCCTCCGACTGGGCGAGTCGACCCGAGTCGACCCGGGTCGACCCGGGTCGACTCATCCCGAGAAATGGGGCAGGGGGTGGCCTTCCTGGTCTCACCGGCGTGAAAGCCTGCTGTTTTGATGACGACGGTCGTGCCTGTAACGAACCTGTGAAACGCCATCGACCCTCGTTTTCACGATCGTTCATCCATCGGCAAACATTCGGAAACCAGCTGATGGAACTCACTCGTGGGCTGGCTTTGGCCGTTGTACCGTCCGGAATCGGTGAGGAAATCTTGGCAGAGGGACGTAAGTACCCGGGTGCCGCGGAATCACATCAACAACGAACCGAACGTATACCTTCCTCTCCCAGACCAAAAACTTTGCAGACCCTCAATTTCCTCTTCTCGTGGAAACATCCATGAGTGCAAATATAGTAGATGGATTATGAATGTACGGTAGATTGGAGCCGAGATAATATGCAGGCAGACGCACGGGGACGAAGAAAGGAGTTCATCGTGTGAGTTTGCACCTGGAACACGAAACGAAGCATTTCAGATTGGGACGTTTTCGAGGATCTGTATTTCCTTCTCCGAATCAAGACTTGCTACACGAGGCAACAAGACAGTGTTGATGCGCTCTGGAGATGACGGGAATTGCCATCGAGACGCTGGCTGCCAACGAAACTCGAAAATAGGAAATCTGTTCAGAGGAGAATCACTGAACCATCTTTATCGACTTCCTTCGTGGACTGAACGCACGAGACTCGGGTGACTTTCGGCTTTCGGACAATCACGATGTCTCGATGCTGAATGAATTCGTTCGATTCCCATTTTCCTGGACCATTTTTTCAGATTGCCCCCATCTTCTGGATTTGTGCGAGCGAGTTCAGTTTTGTTACAAAACCCACGACCAGGGTCGTGGGTTTCCGTGGTGGTGTCCGTGGGTGGTGGACTTCAAGCGACCAGAAAATTGCGAACACCGATTCGATTGCGAGAACAAAACACACCGCAATGCTCCACAGATGAAGCCCTAAACACGTCTCACTCCAAACCTTCCGGGTTTCCGGATCTGGTCATCATCATCTGTTGAAATAATGGGATTTCGTCTGTTTGAGTCAGGGATCCTGCGTTAAAGCAAAGCCAGCAGGGAAGCAAGGGACTTCAGTGCAACTAGATGAACACGAGTTGACAGCCCTTTAATAGTCTTCATCTGCTTGGACTCGACCAAATGGAAGACGATAAAGGGTTTCGGCTCCGTCTGACATCCCTCGTCTGACATCCCTCGTCTGGCATCCCTCGTCTGATATCCCTCGTCTCCCTGAGAGCAAAGAGAAAATGGCTCACTCGCTTCAGCGGATCGATGAAGCTTGGGTGAGATCAATTTAAGCAACGCTGCCCAACTCGAGTCAAAACGTCAACTGTTAGACCTCTGGGATGCTTTTCAATTTTTAATAGAGTTCATGAAAAAGGCTTGAATGAAGCTCTCATTTAAAGTATAGCATATCAGTTCGTTGGGCACTTCTCACCTGTTAAACTCAGCTCGGCACTCCATTTTTTAAATAGCCATCTTGTGTCTGCTGCCACACACATCGAATGAAGGGTGAAGGAAATGGAGGAAAGAAGGCTGCCTTCTGGCGCAAATAAATGGGATAAGACGGAACGGAGAAGAGAGAGAAAAGAGAGTGAGAGAGAGGACGTCTATGGGGGTAAAAGTGATGGAGATGAAATGGAAAGAGGACATGGCGTGAATGATAAAAAGATGAGGTTCCATGAGTCTTGCAGATCCTGTCCCATCAGATTCTTCCATTTGGTTTTCTGCTCTGGTTTCTCATCTCTCTCCGGGATCCACTTCTCGCGTAATAACATTTGATTTTCGGGAGTACATCTCGCCCAAGTGCACGACTTTCGTTCCAACCCCTATTTTTTTTTAAATCTCTCTCAACTCTCGCTTTCGAGTCCATGCGAGTTATCGACCTCGTGGTGTACTGTGGCAGTACTCGAAATCCGAATGAACCGCTCCACGCGAGCTTCTTCCCCGTACTTACGAGGTACTTCACCGATGCGACAGGTTCGGTCTGCGTCCACCGAAAACGGAAGGAAGCCATCTGCCATGATGACTTTCTTCCCTCCTGTTTTGTCTTCTCAAAAAATGACAAAGGAGGAGAAAGTGAAGAATCGTTCGTTTTATCGATGTGCCACCACCCTCGAAAGTGAAATTCAATCCTTCCCATTCCTCGATCGATTCCGATGAGCCTGACATCTCCACGTTTTCTGCAACATGGACAGGGTGGAGTCGATAGTTAATCCTCGTGGCTTTCTAGTAAATATTTTTTTGCAGAGTCCTGTCAACGCATCTGTATTTAGAGATTCCCTGTCGTGGAACACCCAATTCGCAAGAGGATCCTTCTTAATGGTTTTCCGGGGAAACGGTGGGATTTTCTGACTACCGATCGTTTCTGTTTGAGGATTGAGCATGCCCACGAGGGTCAGTCCAAACAAGATACTCGAACTCCCGGCAATCGGAATTTTTATACAGTGGGAGTTATCTCTGTACTCTCTTTTCCGCTCTGAAACTAGAAAATACTAGCATTTCGACACAAAACTTAGTTTTCAGGTCGTATAGCTCTTGAAACGAATACAGGAGAGTGAAACCGTTCAAGTCTTTGGAGAATCTGAAGAATTCTACTTCCCAATAATTGAAGAGCTTGGAGAAACTCTTCAACTGTTAGGGTTTGGCTCTGAGGATTGCGGTGTTTTCTTTCTCGTTATTATCCATAATGTTCCCGAGAGTCTTCACTCTGTCAATGAAGTCCCGTAACGTTTTGATTGATCCGGCTCGTTTGTCAGAACTCTTACGCACTTTATCGCGCGATTTTTTTTTCAGTTTCGATAGCAGAAGACGGTCCCAGGTTTTTTTTTTTTACATGTCGACAATTTCCTTATTTTAGTTAATTTCTGGTAATTTTCCAAAGCTCAAAAACAGATGCTAAACTTACCGCCGCACGAGGATTCCAGACGGCATGCACGTAATCTTCTGCACCAAAATAATTTCATGCCATCCGTTTCGTTTCGTTGTGAATCTGGGAAGAATTTCGAGAGACTCGATGATGGCTGGACTTGGTAAAAGTTTTTATGAGGGTCCTCGAGGAAGTATTCGACCCACTCTTCGGACCCATGATCAGTCCTCAGAGGACATCGCTTCGAGAATGACGTGAGGAATGCAGTTCGACGATGGCTTCGTCACCGGGACTAGAGGATCTGTCGAGATGGAATTCATGCCCTTGTAAAATGGTGGGAAAAGTGTATTGCCCGTAATGATGACCATGTCGAAAAGAGGTGGTTCATCGCAGAGCCCTGACGGGCATTACCTGCTAATTTCATGCATTTATCTTCAATACAGAGTGAGAAAAATGATTGTGTATTACTTTCCGAGAGTTCCTCGTACATGAACGAACTCATTCTGGTACCGATATCGAGCACTGAATCAGGAAACCTCGTCGTAAAGGAGAGCATATGATGTAAGATCCCAGTACAGGTAACCGTACCGGAAATAGCCCCAATAGCTCCCCCCATTCTCCTTATCGGCCACTGCATGTACGCAATGTTCCTGTAAAAGGGGCCTTCCGCTCCTGGCTACGTCACGGCACCGCTTAGATCATGTCGTGATGAACGGGGAATCACATCTTGGTCTCAATGTTCAATCTTGACCTGTCTCCCCATTCCAGACCGTCACGGCCGCAAGGAAGTACTCAAGTGCAAAAAACCCTTCAATTGAGTTTGAGTCCTCTGTTAGTCCCGAGAGACAGATAAGCCTCACCTACAACTGTGGTGAGCATGCCCTCTGAGAAATGGAGAAAGAACGAGTGAAAACTGCATGAGGTCAGAAGTCCATTTTGTCCGGCCCGCGAAGTCCTCTTCAATAGTCAGCTACGGAAAAGTACTGCAAATTTCAGCCTGTCTGCATAAAAGATTAGGTGTTAGGCTTTTATTGTGGCCCCTAATCACCCCCCTGAAGGCTTCCATCCGGCCCCCAGCCTTATCGAGTTTGACACCCCTGTTCTACGTTTTCCCTCCCCAGCAAAAAGTTCAGGCTGGAAATATTACCGGTTTTAACCAGTTTGTGATGGATTTTTCCGGCAGGTGGATTGCATGCAGGAAACGTAACTGGTTCCAATCGGGAATTAGAAGGTTGGCATTTTCCGACAGGAAAAGCAGAAATCCAGCAGAATACAACGTAGAATTCAACTGGATCCTATTGGTTCATTCCAGCTGGAGATGGCATACCAATTTACGACTAGTTCTGGTTGGAAATGCTGCAGTTCCTGCTGGAAGTGGCACACATTTGCTGATGGAAAGCTTGCTGTTTCTAGCTGGAACTTTTTGCTGAGTCTGGTATGGGGAGAGGCTGAAGTTAGATTTCCCGTTTCCAGAACCACCTCATGCTCTTGCATGAGACCCATGTCCTCCAAACTATGCCAAGGTCCTTTGCTGCGACAGCAGATTGATTGATCGATGCAAAGCTTTTAAGTGTATCAAAAGACTGGCTTAAATTTTCATTTTTTCATTAAGTTTCCGCCATGCATTCATTTTAAAATAACTTATTTAATCAGAATCCACCGAATTAATCTATTGGTGCACCGGCAGGGGGTTAACGCTACTCATCTTTGAATTTGATTCAAGAATTTACTTATTCATTCCTCTGCTCTTAGAAAGGAGAAATCCTGAAAATTCCTAGGCTTGCTTCGCACTCCTACACCCGCTCGTCAACCTGGTCCAGGTGACGAGCCAAGGTAAAGGGAATCTAATCCTAAGTGGGATTCCTGTAGCTGACGACCACAATTATAATGGAGTGCTCTCAATACTACTCTCCCACTGTCTGTACTGTCATGTCATTTGTATCCTCCTTTCAGTCCCAATTAATAAACAAAAAACTCAAGTATTGACATCACTGCTTTCTGAAATGGCGCTATAGAGCGTGATTACCATTCAGCTCAGCTGAAACGTGGACGGTGCTGATGCAAACCAATGACTCAGGCGCGCTAACGTTAGTCTGCGACCAAACTGCATAGACTGAATATACAGTGCATTCCTTACTTTCCCTAGTTTCTGTCATATCTATCAAGCGTTTACTGGTAGGCCTAGCCATCGCAGTCGACCTATTTTAAGTTAAAGTTGAGGCAAGTTTGATTATTACCGCCTGCTTCGCCTCATTTATTGGTTCATAGTACTCGGAAAGACGTCACGGAATTAAGAATATTAGCATAAGGGCACAAAGTTGCCAGTGGCTTCATCGATAGTAGATTTTCCTAAGTGTACTTTCTTGCCCCATGAGAGTTGTGACTTACATTGATTCTACATTCATGATTCTTGGAGCATTGCAAGTTGAATGTACGCTTTAGCCATCCTGGCTACATTTCGCCTTTACCAATTATCTTTGCACTCACTTCATTTCTCCATGCCCATCCCCTGCTGTTAACTGAAGTCCTTGACACATGATGCAGCTGTAGATGGAGGATGGCATTAGAAGGTAAGAATCTATTGGGAGGATAGGGTGAATTGGCGGGGAACTACTACAGTGCTCTCAGGATGAGTTCACATCCCTCCCTTCCCCCATTAGGCCTCTGATGCTTAGACTTTAAGAAATTGTACCAAATTCTGGTTCATGCTATTTGAAGGAAGAGTAAATGTTAGCACTGCTGGCAGGGCTGCCCAGAGGGGGGGGCAATTGGGACAATCTGCCCCAGGCCCCTCATATCAAGGGGTCCCAAGTAGGGCCTCCAAAGGGCCTCAAGGGATCCCCCAAGGGGTCTCTGGTTTAGTTTTGCCCTGGGCCCCAGGAAACCTCTGGGTGGCCCTGACTGCTGGTGTTGTTAGACCCATACTAAACAATAAATTCTTCCATTGCAACTCATGAAAAAACTTATATCTTATATATTTTATATCTTCACTAATCAGAAGACTTTATCAACAGGCATTGGCACAGTAACACTATATTTTCTTGGTATTAGATCAAAATAATTTATGGCATTGAAAGGGCATGCATGAATCATCAACCAAGGACCAAAAGCTACCTTTAGGTGCAAGTGCAGTCCTTGGAATTCCCAGCAGTTTCTTTAATACAAGTCTGAGAGTCTAAACTATCAATGGTTACAAACTGGGACAGAGCCTCATGGTTGTACTTTGTTCAATCGGGCAGCAAACAGTCCACAGGCTACAGGTTAATAACCTTGATAAATAACCTTTCATAGGTGAAAATGGCAGGAGCTGTGACTGAGCCTAGTGTGGACAAATTTAATCATGAAGCAGCAGATGATGACTTTCAGGTTTTTTTTTCTCTTTTTCCCCCTATCTTTCTCTTGGCCTTAGCCTTCTCTGCTTTTCACTCTCCACCTTTTTTTCCCATTATATTTATCGTTATTCAGTTCTTATTTATGTATTTTCCCCTTCTTTTTTGGGGTTTTCTCGGTGGAATTGAAGATTGAAGAGATGTTCGAATAAAAAAATAAAAATAGTTGCAACACAACAAAAAAAAAAACTAAGAGCTTTTGATTCTTATCCAGTGGTATAAGAAGTAGAAGCCAAATTTCCAATTTCATCTACTTAGAATTTGATCATTTGCTGGACTTAGTGAGACACCCAGATATCGTAGCATCTTAATATGATGTTGCTTTTAAGTAGAAAACTTGATTTTATCAGTTTTTCATCTCCTTATCTCTAGAGATCGACCGATATGGCAACCGATATATCAGTCGATCTCTTCTGTGAGTGTTCTGGCCAATACAGCATCATCAAGAGGCGAGGAACTGCAAGTCTTTCGCTGTTCTTGTTCTCCTACATAGAAGTTAGGCGTATTCATGGCTACGGGAACTTCAACAGCTAAAACTATAGACATTCACCCTAAGCGTTAGGTTTTGCTGATGATCGTCCGAAAGTACATGGACTGTTCGTTTAATTCACAGACACGGGGAGGGGACGCCTGCTCATGCCCGACCCTGTATGTGAATTAAATGAACAGCCCTTGTTTATCATTTTTGGCCTGCTGCCTTATGTTAACCCTCCCATTTATCCAGGGTCTAAAATGTAGGCTAAAATGTAGCATGAGTGTAGGCCTAAACATGTCCTAAAGACCCTCCCCTGTTCAACCATGATATTTCTAATGCTCGCCTACTGAAGCTTTTAAAATGTATCATTCTCCTCAGGGCTTATGCTCGTCCATTGACATCTGATCTCCAAAAAAAAAATAATGACAGCAAGAAGTGGAGATATATCCATGAAATTTGGTTTCGGAACTCGTTGGGCAAGAGAAACTCTCCGAATCCATAAAGGCCATTCTCTACATCACATAATTTATTAAAGAGATTGACCGATATATTGGCAACCAATACATCAGTCGATCTCTACTTATATCCAGAGTATGAGCTTCCTGCTTTCTTTCTGCCATATCAAAGACACTAATATACTCCATCATTCTTTGAAAAGCCAGAATATATGATAATCCATTATTGAGGTGGCATAAAAGTTGCCTGCTTATGCCCTTCCCTCAGTGAGCCCCAATTATGTAAGTGCAGTGGAGAGTATTTTAAATAAATAATGCATGCATGGCTAGTGGAAATTCACTGCTGTTTTGATTTGATTGGTCTTTGTAGATGGAATGTAGGTCTGTACTTTCTATTCCCAAAGAAGTACTATGAGCTGAAGATGACAAGCAGGATATGCATGAGAGTCTGTGAAGAGTCTGTATCTCCATATCAATTATAGCCATTGCTTGTAAATTTCAGAGAACATCATTATTACTAATAACCAAGATAGCATTGGAGTTGAGAACCTCAGTGCCAGATATTGCATTATCTGATACCATGATGGGCCTACCAATCAGAACATTAAATTTTATTATTGGGTATTGGTTTTATAGCACTAAAATTTTTATAGAAATCCAAATCATACAGTGGTATAAAACCAAGTATAAGTAGGAAATGATGAGAGCAAAGAACAAAGCCATCAATATAGCATTTGTTCAGAAATCTAAAGGTGTTATGACTGGAGTCTGAAGCTTCTCTGAGTCATCCCGTGTAAATCAGGATCAGAGCTTCATGTTTCATCCTGTTCTGGATCAGAAAGGAAGAGATGAACTTCTAATATTATGTGGTGCAGGTGGGGGTGGAGGAGGAGGACCTGGATCAGGATCTCAAGATGTGACAGGTGGAGGTGAAGCCATACTAAATGGAGAATTGGTGGAGGGACTGAAGTTGAATGATGCTGGAAATGACACTGGTAAGCATATGACTTCACAGAGTGTAACCTTTTTTTTTTACCTTACTTAATCAGATTGTTCAGTAAATTTCAATTTCTTTTTCCATGGACACTTTTAGATCAAGCCCTACCTTCCATTATTAGAAATCAGCAGAGCTTATAATTAAGTGATATGTTTGGAGTCATAACTGTCCTAAACTTTTACTAAGATGTCTTCTACCCTAAAATTTGATTAAAAACCTGTTATCAAATGTCATTGGCCATTCTGCATATTTATCCTCTTTCGTGAAGTATAGGAACTATAAGTTGAAACTGAAAACAGATCAAAGAATCATAAATACGGGTCCACTCTGTTTTCGTATAAAAATAAAGAACTTACAGGAGGTCCTCTCTTCGTTCTCCTTCCTAAGAAGAAGTCTGGGAAGAAAAAAGGAGGAAAGAAGGCAATCCCACCATCTCTTCCAATCAAAGAACAGTTTCCAAATAGTGAGGGAGTTTGTTTCCATACTGCTTTGATTTTTCTAATAAGTTTGGGTTTGTTGATGCATTGCATGAACTCTTTGATGTTGATTTTGTACCTCATACTACTTACTTTTTACTACTGAATTGGATTTGATTGATCAGTTAAGGAAGAATCTGAGATGGGTGATTATGCTGTCATCCATCAGTCTTTGTATGTCTTAAGAGGGCAACAATGAACTTCATTGGTTCTCATGGCATCTGCATATCTTAACTGACCAAGAAAACACTATTTTCTCAAATGAATATGAAGTAAGTAGCTATGGTGAAGGTGTTCCAGGTCTGACTGTTAGAATGTGAGAATCTTTCCCTTCACTCCTAGCCCCACCTTACTTCATGAAGTTGTCACCTGTTTAGATTGAAGGGAACAAATTTTAGTACTAAAAGCTGGATGAAATTGAAGGGAGTAGTTAAAAATATTCTCTATTTTCAATAAGGAGGTAGCCAGTAAAACTGATTACACTTATTGATTCAATCCTAGGAATCCTGAATGCAAGGAAAAAATTTCTGTAAATCGAGATGGAACTCACACAATGTCTCAGATAGGTAACAGTAATGGTTTCTGCAATTACTGGGGTTTGGTGGCCGAGTGGTTCTGGCTTCCGGGTGGCAACCCGGGAGGCAAGGGATCGAGTCCATGTGGTGGCAGGCTCTTCTTCCGCCGACTGGCGACCCACCTGCTTTCCTGGGGAGCATCTGCTTAGTGCGGGATAACACACACGCCACTCTGTGTGCCACATCTAAGAGATACAGGTGTAGTTCACCTTAAAAATCACTTGTGCCAGTCACAGGCTTAGGCAACCCGTGAGCTGCCCCTTTGGCCTCCTAAAGGACTGTTGAGGGGTGTCCCTGCCTGAAGGACTGTGATACAGATGTGGTGCCCATGCCAAGCATGCACCCCCCCCCCCCTCCTCTCTGTGTACTGTAATTTCCATTGTCATTTGTGTCTGCAGCATGTCCTGTCTTAAAAAAAAAAAAAAATGGTTTCTGCAATTGATGTCTATATTCTGCCTATATTCCTTCATGTGGATGAATACTTTGCATTAGCCAAATTCTGCTGTTCCAGTTCTCTGTTATGCTCTATAATTTGTTCCTGTTTACTCCAAATTGTCTTAGCTATAAAATATAATCAGTGTCCCTTCCTTTGCATCCAATTGAAAATGTAAGTTCTAAGTACTAATGGAGTATCAGGAGGAAAAAAATGGCAACGTCCTTTCATCTTTGTAAAATATTTCATTTGTATAGAACAGTTTGAAGCAGGTGTTTGAGTTTTTTTACTTGTAATCTTACTGAGGTTACACCTCAGTAACTTCACTGAGGACCATTGAACCACATATTTGTTTCCATTTTTTTTTTACCTCATTGTCCTATATTCCTTAGGGGTGGACTGAGAAGACATAAAGTCTGAAAATGGAAGATTTAAATATGAAGCTGCATCAGTCATAAAGATGCAACAAAACTTTTTCATGGACTGCAAAATTAAAACCCTGTTCTGTATCAGTTTGTCTGAATGAGAGAAAACTGAGTTGTTCAGAGTGAAAATGAATGACTGTGGGATGTGGCTGTCTGGAACCAAATAGAAACTAGAGTAGTATGGCATGCTTAATTCCAGAATGAAGTGTAAATGGTATTTCAATATTTCCAATTCCCTACCTGTAACTGAGTAAGACATTCCACTTCAGTATAAAGTTTTCTCATGTCTTCCACTTGCTAGGCAAGTTTCCAGTGGGTCAAATCTTGGAACACCCACAACCAAAAGATTTGGATGACTGCACTGCTGCACAGCGTGTGACAAGTGAGGAAAAGAAGACTTTGGATGCTGCAAACACAGAATGGTATCAGGAGATGCGTTTGGCTGCTGAGGCTCACAGACAGGTGGGATTGATGTATTCATTAAACACAAATGAATTTGGGAAGAACCTAACTATAACAGTACACTTCTAAGAAGAACAGAATGTTACACGGAAATATGGAGACCATGAAGATCTGTTCTGTCATATACGTCTTTCACTATTCTGGACCGGCTTTCTACTAGCTATAATGTGAAGAGCTTGAAGGGATAGCCAGGAAATTAATAGATGAGAAAGGCCTTGAGGCTGGTCTTGCCTTCCCTACTGGTGAGTTTTCCATGCAGCCCTTAAGTTCATCTTATCAGACCTGTATCTCACAGACCATTGCTTTCCCCTCCCCCCCCAAAAAAAATAAATAAATAAATTCCTGGAATTAAGGAAATTTTAAAACAATTATGGTTGACTTAACATTTTTTGCTGCATTTTCATGATTCATGCAATAAAGGGTTAATCATGTTTAAAATAATGTTTAATGCAACTTTATTGAGGAAAACTACCTTCCTCTGTTGGGAGTGTTATGTTCTGTTGGAGGAGCAAATGTGAAGTATTATGTTTGCAAAGTGTCTTGGAATTATGTTTAACCCCTTAGCTGTGCAGGGCATAATTAGACTTTACATTACACTTCCATACATGCCCTTCTACTTTGGTCTGTGGGGACTGCAATATTATGCCAAACACAGCCAGTCTTCCAAAAGAAGATACTGTGGGAGAAGGATTAGCAAAATTACATGGTTAAAGAATTTAATATACAAAAACCAGCTGCACATCAATGTAATTTTGGCATAATCATTATATATGGCTTTCAAAATATTAAGAACCATGAAATGAATCGATATGAAGTAACTATTTTAGAATTTAGTTTTCATTCTCTAACAGGTGTATGTCTCTAGTGTAAAAATTCACACTTTCAAATGAATCTCCCAATAGGGACCTGATTTCCAACCATATGGAAAAGGCCTCCAAGAATATTACTATGATGTTGAGCTCCCTTTTTGTGTCGCAAGCCTGGTGAAACTAACTTTTCCATCTGTGTTCCAGGATGCTCCCTGAATCATTGTGCTGCTCACTATACTCCAAATGCTGGAGATGAGACTATTTTACTTCAAGATGATGTCTGCAAAATTGATTTCGGGACTCATATAAATGGTGAGAACTTCATAAAAATTTAGAATTTTGCTATATCTGGGTCTTCTTTATGGGTTTTGTCTCTTTGAATGCTATGCAATCATTGAAAAATACCAGAAGCCAATTTAGACACAACTTGTCGTGACCAAAATGTTATAGTACACATCAGGGCAAATTTGTGCCTGCCATTGTTGGACTAATAACTTCAAATCTTTGCACTTTCATCCTCTCACTCTGAAATTGATTTGATTTTGCAGGATTTAGATTAGAAAGGTCATTGTCACCACAGTCTCCCTGTTAAGTGTGTAATCATCAGACAAGTGGTGCCGGAGCCATATGATCCAGCAAAAGTCATTATTTATATGGATTTGCATTATATTTCGCATTCATATACATAGACATGCTTGTGTTTTCTTTTGAAATAGGTTTTTTTCCAATTATCACATTTAACATTTACCCCAGCATCCTTAAAGCTAGTGGATGCATTATTATTTGTGGGAATTAGGAAATATCCAGGTCTTTTCTCATCATCTGGAATTAGGAATGTTTTGTTAACGAATGTCCTTCCTTCCATTCCCCACCTATGTTTCAACAATTTGACAATTTACTAATTCTCTGCTCAGACTAATAGCAAAATAAAAACAGGAAAAGTGAACTATTGAAGGTATTGCATATGCCAAGACCATAATTTATGCTGTATCAAATGCCAATCTAAGTGCCAATAATAATAATTCTAAACTTTCCTATTTCCAATGCACAGTGAGGATGAGCCAATGACCATTAACTTAATTAACTGTATAGAGGCTGATCCACAACTCTCTGTGAGATAGGAAACTTCACCCTAAAAAGTCACTTCAGTTTCAGGAACCAAGTTGATCAATAAACCATTTAGTACTGTGCAGCCAATTTTTCAGCTGCATGCACTCCTGCTAAAAATTTCAAAGGCCAATTTTTTAGTCACAGCATTAGATTTCTTCCATCGAGTAGTTATCTTATTGTTAGAGAAATACAAATATTATTAAAATTGCATTTTTGGAAGTGGTAGACATAGCTGAAAAATCAGCCATGTGGCACTGAAAGGGTTAGTCTCCCAATTGATGCTTTATAATCAACAAGTGACATGAAAACTTGACAAAAGGTAGTATTAAAAAAGATTACATTTGCAGAAGTGTAATCAGCCTTGATATGTCCATGTCCAATAAGTATAGAATTCCAGAAATGATTACTTGAAAGACTGAAATTTACTTTGCCTTGATACCAATAAAAAATGAATAATTTTATATTCAGCATTAGTGGGAAGTTGAAAGAAGCCTGCTAAATTAAGTACAGAAGTAAAATTGGAAACTTTGATATCCTGGAAAATGTTCTCTGTTGAAACAGTGGAATTTGTTGTCATTTACAAGACAGAATTGTCATGGTGTTACTCCCTCATATCTACTTAGTTTTTATTCACTTCTAAGCACTGAAAAGGGATACTGATCACACATGACTCAAATGATTATGTATCGTCAATCAAAACCTTAATACCTCTTGAAGGGCTCATTTGCTGTTTCCCCCTCTCATGTCTATATACACTGCAAAAGCAAACGTTGCTGTTTAAGAATTTGACTCAGGGTCTTATGAAACTTCATAAAAAATCAGGGATAATTAGGAATACATATGGTAGTCATGGTCTCGTCTGGAATCAAACAATGTGACGAACTTGGTATATTACGTACACCCCCTACTGACTCCTTCATACTATATTAGTCCATACATATTAATTCATAAACTAAATAAAATTCACAAATATCATTATCATTCAGAATTGGAACCTTTGTTGTGGGAATGATGACTTTCTAGTCTATTTTGCATTTCTGATTCACATATTTTCATTGTGATTTTCCTAGGTCGAATCATTGATTGTGCTTTCACAATGACATTCAATCCAAAATATGACAAACTGCTGGAAGCAGTGCGAGAGGCTACCAACACAGGGGTCAAGGTATTTTTATTCCCATTTGTACTCTTTTATTGCTATGTACACTGCTGGGCACTAGTTGCTATATCATTTTTCCTCCTGTCATTGTGTTTAAAATGATTTCTGAAGAGGCATGAAATTACCACATTTAAAATACCTTCAGTATCCTTTTTCCATTATGTAAACTATTGCATAATATCTATATTGCACACTAAGGGTGAAGACTAAAAGTATTTCAATGGAGTGGAACATGGGTGTACTGAGAAAATGATTTAAAAAGAGACTTGGATGAAGGGGTCTTTCTTGAGTCTGTTACAAAGTATTTAATATGTTCCTCCAAACTTATCCAAGTCCCATGCTCCACATCAAAAATCTAGGTTTTGGTGTCATTTTGCATCTACAAGAGAAATGTACAGCAATGTTATACTAAATCTTTACATGCCAATGGAACAGTTTACATGATGCTCTTTGTTTTATGTATTTTTGTTGCCTTGTACAAAGCAAGGAAGAAACAAGGATGGGAGAAAATACATCCAGTTACTATTATTCAGTAGTATATGATCAGTTAGTTGAATCTCAGGTCCGATTCCCAGGAGTGTGGGATCGATGTCCGTCTGTGTGATGTTGGAGATGCCATCCAGGAAGTAATGGAATCATATGTCCACCTTGAACTACCCTTTCGGATAGGACAGTTCAGGTAAGCTTTGGAGTTACCGGTAAGATAGAGGGGTATAGCACTCACGTAGGATCACCTGTTACTAGGTGAGACAAAGGGATGTAGAAACTCAAATTTAGACTATCAAGAGCCAGTGGATTGTGTTATCTATGCAGACATTTAGATAATTTTCATGAAGCCCAAGTCATTCATATCTCTACTGGAGATCCAAGCCCTTACAAAGATGGCCCTTTCCAAGAACACATAGCTGTGTATCTACAATGAAAAATTTTGTTCATGTAGGTTACCCTGATAGCTAAAAGTTGTGGAACATCTCTAGTGTTATATCTTAGGATAAATTAAAAGTGAAAATTGTGCCTAGAGTTTTCATGTATATTTGAATGGAATAAGAATCTTATTAACCTGGCTTAAGTTCAATCAAATAAACCAAATTAATTTTTTCTTAACCTTTGTGACAGATGTGATGATTAAGGCCTCAACTTAAGAGAACTAACTATGGTTCTCCTAAATGGAGAACCATACCCCCATGGAAACATAATGTATGATGCATCTGGAATCCCTCCTCTCTACAGATTTGGAAAATTTAGAGAAGTCATTGGTATTGCCCTGTTTTCCATAAATTAAGAGAAATAGAAAAGCAAGCTTCAACTCTCACTTGAGTGAATTCAGTAGATTTTCCAGGAATGTGTTATTCATGTATGGAAATTATATTCAAAAAGTGCTATAAAGCAAGGGAAATAGATTCTTACATATTTTATGAATACCCTATCACTTTTTGTGCCCCTTTCCTGACAATAGCCTGAAAGTTCCCTTGGCATTATTTTCTGGTTTCATTTTACTGCATTTGTGCTATAAAGCAAGGGAAATAGATTCTTACATATTTTATGAATACCCTATCACTTTTTGTGCCCCTTTCCTGACAATAGCCTGAAAGTTCCCTTGGCATTATTTTCTGGTTTCATTTTACTGCATTATATGCCACACCTCTTGAGAGAAGTTTAGGGGTATTGGTTGATTCATATTTCTTAAGGCAGCAATTCCCAACCTGTGTGCCATAGCACACGGGTGTTATAAGAAGTTGGCCAGAGTACCATGGGTACTGGGCAAATTTTCTTTTTGGTCTGTCGACAAAGTAGCGCAAGAAGGCTGGCCAAAAGTCTACAATGGTATTTAACTGATGTATTCAAGAAGTACTATGTGGAGTAGGCAGGGAACTTCTTTTGAACAACTGCATCTGAAATATGAGACTTCTGCATACTCTCTTATACTGTACCAGGAGTATGAAATGTTAGCTAATTTCGATCAAAATTGATTTTTGGTTATGTACTCCTGGTATACACTCTTAAAAGAGTATCTGTTAAGGAGAATGTCAAGGTCAATATTGTTGCTACAATAAAGATGCAGATTGCTTTTTGCTACCAGATAGGTGTCTACCTTCTTTTATTCTGAGTTTTAATAATAAACAAAGCAAGTTCATGTCCCAACTAAGCATTACGAGTGAACTGTGAGGTCACTTCAAAATTTGAGCCTCATCTTGAATTCTGGGCTACCAAATGCAGGCAGAGGTGTTGCATTGGAATGAAGAAAATAAATTGGAAGAGTTTGAATTTTTATTTATTTAAATTATGGTTTTGCTTTTCTTCAAAGTAAACCTGTCTTGAATGGTTAAAAGGTTCTGGTTTGACTTATATTATTGTGTATGGAGGTTCATGGATGTGCAAGGGTGCTGCTGACTTCTTGCTGTCTGAAAAGGATACTATTGCAAAGAAAAAATTGAGAACCACTAGCTTAAGACAATTGTCTTATATGTGCAGTTCTTCCTCTTTGTTTTGTTTTTTCATGTTCCATGAACTGACTCACTCAAAATTCTTTCCAGCATGCTAGAACATTAGTTTTCTTTTTTTAAATTTCTTGATGTCCAGCTTGCTGGACAGCATGCAGAATAGGGCTAAGAACCTGCTGCCTCTTTCCATTCAAGTAAACAAATGCATCCACGGTATTTAATTCAACATTTTCAATGTCCTTTTCACACAGATTTTTTCTCGTGGTTACCACACATGCCCTTTCTCATCCATAGACCCAAAAGAGCCTTTTTGACTTCCCAGGAATTCATATGGACTGTTGTGGATGTTATCTACTTATCTTTTCCTGTATGCTCATTTTTATATGCCAAATTTTAACCAAATTTTTATATTGGAATAACAGTATGCAGAATTTCTGACCATTTAGCCAACTAATTATGGGAACCTACATTTTCATACTGGTGGCCTTCCTCTCCTAAGTTTCAACCCTTGGAGACATTCTTCTCATGTTCAAGTTCAATGACTACACTTATATTCTCAGGGTGCTCATCAGCCCCTCAAAAGCCACCTGAAATTCCATAATGGTGCAAATCACCATAGTTGCTTCGATTCCATCATTAACTTCCATTTTGGATCATGACTACCCATCTTTTCCTTCTCTCAAAGTGCTTCTTTTTTTCTCTCTCTATTATGGCATGATGGTCCAACAGATACAGGTGTAGGGGGCATTATTTGCCTCCATCTGCAGTATCTGTTTTTTCCCTCAAGACTAAAAATGGTGAATTCCAGGCATCCCTATGTGTGCTCATCTAAATCAGAATGCACATGGGATGGGAGGGATTTGTTCTGCTGCAATTCTGAGGTCAATTGTAACCATTTGCATTTGGGTTGATAGCCTCCAAAACACAAGGCTTGTATACCTAGAGCCTGTAAAATATATTCAAGGTTGCCAAGAGCTTCACACTACTCTCTGCTATTGGAAGGGCTTTGTGCATGAGGACATGGAGTGTTCACACTATATGAAGAATTTTGATACAGGGCATGTACCACTCAGGTCAGCATTTCCCTCTTTTTATTGTTAGTCTGCCTTCAAACAACAGTTACAGTCCCTCGGGGAATTCCCAAGACCAGCTTGTACCATCCAGTCTTTCAAGCTGAAGAAAGTAGGTATCATCTTAACCCTTTCATGCATGGTGTCCACTATAGTGGACAGCAACATTTTTGGTGTATGCAGTCAACTCAAGGGCACATAATCTCTTCAGTGTTGCTTTCTTGCAGTGAAACATGCGACTATTACAGCAGAGTACCTCCTTAACCAACAAAGGCATATTTTTCTTTTGCTTTAAAAATTCATACATGAAAGGGTTAAAGTGAAAGCTGGTTCTCTGCCTATAAACACTTAATAGACCCAGTTTACAAGGGGTAGCATGTTGATGGTGACTACTTACATGAACTCCAGAGTTTTTTTTTGCTTTCTTCTGCTTATACTGGCATGTTATCATGCAGTACAAGACAGGAAATAGTTCAGCAATGTAGATGGTTGACTTTCTCTATCAAGTGAACATGAAATCTTCTATCTTTTTGCTTTCATTTAGTTTTTTCTACATCATGTGCAGCTTCAGACAACATGCTTGACTTGCACTCGTGTTTCAGGCTGGCAAAGAGTCGACAGCTGCTGAAGGTGATCAACACCAACTTCTCTACGCTTGCATTCTGTCGACGATGGCTAGACCGGCTTGGGCAGACGCACTATCTTTTGTCCCTGAAGGATTTGTGCAACAAGGGCCTTGTGGATCAATATCCCCCCCTGTGCGATGTCAAGGGATCTTATACTGCCCAGTTCGAACATACAGTGATTCTTCGGCCAACCTGCAAGGAAGTCGTGAGTCGTGGCACCGACTATTGACATTCTTGCTTCCTTTCTCCATCATGTTGACTGGTATTCTGGTTCAGGATTTCCCCATTGTGAGACTAATAAATCTTCCTCATGGTAGGGGTTTAGGAGAGTCATTTTTACCATAAGAATTTCTCATTCGCTGTCTCTGTGCTTGTTTTATGACAAGGCTATCAATCAAAGTGCATACAGCACCTTATCAGGGCACAAAAATCCTTTAACCCCAATGCTGATTCACATTGACTATGCATGGTGGTGGCATTGCTTCATGGCATTTGTCTGCCAGGATTGCAGCAGGTTCTTCAACTCCAGCAGTATGGAAAACACCTGCTAGCTGATTTCATATAGCTGCCTGCAAATTTACAATTTATGTCACCACCTTTCTGAATCTTTGCCTGACTGAAGAAGCTTTGGGATTTAGATCATGGTCCATTGCCCTGCGAACAGTCAGTAATCTGATGGTTGGATGTGACCAAATAATACTATACCAGAGGAAAGTGAGCACTAGCTACAGCCAGCAGACAGCTCCTCTCCATCTTTCTTCATTGCCTATGTGAGCCTCCAAGAATCTTCATGGAATGGATTTATAAATCAAAGATGATTCAGATGGCTTTCCATTAATGTGGAATCCCAAGCAACGAAGGGAAAAGAAAGACTATACCCACTCAAGATCAGATGAGTGCTCAGTTTCATATTGGAATTGGTATATAAGAGGCTTTTTTTTAATCTGTAGAGCCCAATAAAATGTCACTATCTAGGAAATTTACTGTATAAAGATTTCATTCCTTTGCAAAGTCATGATTGAAATTGACTTATCTAATCCCATTGGAGGCTTGTGACAGGTAAGTATTTGGCCATTATATTGGGACAGATTGTGTGAACTGCTGCAGTTATGGTAATTGCAAGTCAGCTCTTGGTAGTCATTGTGCAGTAACATATCATTTTGAGATATCATTTGAGATTAACATATCATCTTTCCCAAGAGATGAAGAGCACCTGCTCTTCAGTCTCCACTGATAATGTGAAGAATGGGATCCTGGTTGTATCATCATAGCTGTTGATAGGTGAAGTTACTTGCTAAATGAGATGGAATCTGATCAGAGTGATAGAATCCTTATCCTTTCTTTCCATTGCCTCTGGCCTGCTCTGATCCATGAAAAAACATGAATTCTTGCCTTCTTGAATTGAATCTTGTATGAATTTGTACAACCGCTATGTAGGTACAGCCATTGCTATTACTAAGGCCTTTTCCTTAATCAAAGAGCTGTTAAGAGGACTGATTGGCAAAAATCTTATTTTTCAGGCTTCCAAGGGAGTGACTGGTGACTTTTCTGTTAAGGGCATGTTTAGTTGTATAAGTAGATACACCAGTTCTCAATCTATGCAAACCCAATCTTCCATGGAAGGGAAGGGGGTCTATGTACATTAGCTTATTTTCCTATTTCTCTGGCTTTCTTTTTTGCAGATAGATCAGTTTACCTAGCTGTCCTTCGGGTATCCTTTCTGAATAGGAAATATATTATTTCCGAACTCTCCTCTAAACTTGCTGCATAGCTTGCCCAGAAAATCCCAATGGGGGAGGGTTGACATGAAACATTGGTAACCCACCCTGCATTTATGGCCAAATTAAGAAATGTTTAAAAATCAAATCTGTAAAACATATCCTAAGGGGGTGATTATGACCCCATAAAACCCCTTGGGCATGCCACTGCATAGGAGAGAGACCTTGCAGGTGGTAAGAGGTATCTATGCACTAGGGAGTGACTGACTAACTCCATCTAGCCCCAATGATATGAAGCTTTCATTTTCTTTAACCTTGTGCATCATGAGACTTATATTTTACCTAAACATAAGATCTTATGCCTTCATAAGGAGACTATTCTCAAAGTGGGCTCAATAACTCCCATATTGACAGTATGGGTGTCCTTCACCTCCAGTAAGTAATAGTTCTAAACAATTGTAGGCAAATAAGGGATTTTCCATCTAGTTACAAACCTGGAAAAGCTTCCTGAGTGTTAGTTCACACTCACCTTCAGCTGACACTCCAACTCTCACCTTACTACTTTTAACAGAAAAGTTATGCTCAAGTATTAAAATTAAAATTATTAAATTATTAAAATTATGATAAAGGTTGAACATGAGGCTCCAATACAAATTAATTCTGCAAAAGTGTCAGGAATCAATTTGGAATACCTATGTTTCCACAATGGCACATGATGATAGTATGACATGCTTCAGAAGTCTGTCATCATGGTGAGGTAAGCTATGCAATTAAACTCCTTTAACCTTGCTCCAGGATCTGAATAGCTTCTTATGGAGTTGTGCATCAAATTCATAGTGTAAGCCAAACATGTCAGGGATTTTACAATGTTGGAAGAAAACATCCCTGTGGCATACCTCTCCTTCAATCCAGATGCTTTCCAATATGTTCTCTACGACCATTGAATTAACACCTAAGTGGTGATGGTGGCCACCTTGAGAAGTTAAGGAAAAACAGGTATTATTGATTGGTTTCTGACTTTTGTGACACCCTGTAGATGAGATATTCAAAGCTGGTCTAGTCTAATTCCACATCTAATGGATACATGAGCATGGATTATTAAGGAAGGTAGTAATTTAGTATGAGTGTTGAAGTAAGAAGGTAAACTAACTTTTTGTATTCATTACATTTTTGCTACCTGTGTAAGCATCCCAATTCACACCATCAATGTCAGGCTTGCCCATGATCCCAAGTATATCATTGTATTTTTTTTGTGCTTTTTTGTCATTCCAGCTCCCACAGAGGACATAGGGTGATGTAGTGACATATTTATTGATCATCTTGTTTGAGCTTGAGTTAAAAAATTAATACTTTAATGAGTCTTGAAACAAAGAACTGGTAAAGATGGCAGCAGATCTGAGTGAGCATCTCCTCCATTACTTGGATGAACATGAAAGCTTCAATTCCCTCAATCTGGCTGAGAAACTCGGAGAGGATCATCAACGCATTGTTGGTGCCATCAAAAGCCTCCAGTCCCTTGGAAATGTAAGGAGATCCCTTCACTACTGATTGAATTTATATTGTCTAAACTTTGTCACTATTTGACATAAAAATTGAGAAATAAAAAAGTGCAACAGGCTTTGAGAGTGTTTGGTGACAGTAAAAAAAATGATATTTTTAAATGTGTGCCATGAAAAAATGTTTGCGACCAAAGAGCATAATGTTATGCTCAGGATGTGTCATCTATTTTCTGAAATATCTTATTAATCTAGGACAGATATTTCTTGGTCAGAAATAGCTACACCAGTAGTGACTTGTGATATGCAGCAGTAGTAGTTGTTTGTTGGAGACAGGGGAGGCCGGCCTCCTCTGTCTCCACTAATGAACCACTACTGCTACATATCATGAGCTGCCACTGATCTACACCATACTTCAATTAAGATTTTAATTCACTCTCATCTAGTACTCAACTCAAGAAATGACTAGGTAATAGAAGGGAGCATCAGAAAGTGATGATATATGTACTTATTGAATCAATATCAGGCTGGAGATGTGTTGATTACCCTCATAACCCTGTTCAATTCTTTTGTTTGCTCTCCTGTTTAAAAAAGAGTTTCAAATGACCATCTGCATGATTTGATGGACATGTCACAGATTCTGTACCAGTGTCCTTTTTCATTACATGTCTCTTTGTTCTATTATTTCATCTGGACTGAAAAGCTTTTTTTTTTTTTAATAGTTGAAGAGGGGTCAAACCTTGATTTTAATTGAAATGATTGGGTCCCGATTCAGACTTAGATTTCCCGTTTTTCATGAGCTGAGACTCATCTGTATTAACCAGGTGATAGAGGCTGAACAGGAGAGTGGGAAACAGTGGGAGCTGACAGAAGAAGGGAAGGAAGTGGTAGAGCATGGAAGTCATGAAGCCCGTGTCTTTCATGCCATTCCTCCTCATTTAAGGGCATGTTTAGTTGTATAAGTAGATACACCAGTTCTCAATCTATGCAAACCCAATCTTCCATGGAAGGGAAGGGGGTCTATGTACATTAGCTTATTTTCCTATTTCTCTGGCTTTCTTTTTTTGCAGATAGATCAGTTTACCTAGCAGTCCTTCGGGTATCCTTTCTGAATAGGAAATATATTATTCCCGAACTCTCCTCTAAACTTGCATGCATAGCTTGCCCAGAAAATCCCAATTGGGGAGGGTTGACATGAAACATTGGTAACCCACCCTGCATTTATGGCCAAATTAAGAAATGTTTAAAAATTGAATCTGTAAAACATATCCTAAGGGGGTGGTTATGACCCCATAAAACCCCTTGGGCATGCCACTGCATAGGAGAGAGACCTTGCAGGTGGTAAGAGGTATCTATGCACTAGGGAGTGACTGACTAACTCCATCTTGCCCCAATGATATGAAACTTTCATTTTCTTTAACCTTGTGCATCATGAGACTTATGTTTTACTTAAACATAAGGCCTTATGCCTTCATAAGGAGACTATTCTTAAAGTGGGCTCAATAACTCCCATATGGAGTTGGTATGGGTGTCCTTCACCTCCAGTAAGTAATAGTTCTAAACAATTGTAGACAAATAAGGGATTTTCCATCTAGTTACAAACATGGAAAAGCTTCCTGAGTGTTAGTTCACACTCACCTTCAGCTGACACTCCAACTCTCACCTTACTACTTTTAACAGAAAAGTTATGCTCAAGTATTAAGATAGAAGAATTATGATAAAGGTTGAACATGAGGCTCCAATACAAATTAATTCTGCAAAAGTGTCAGGAATCAATTTGGAATACCTATGTTTCCACAATGGCACATGATGACAGTATGACATGCTTCAGAAGTCTGTCATCATGGTGAGGTAAGCTATGCAATTAAACTCCTTTAACCTTGCTCCAGGATCTGAATAGCTTCTTATGGGGTTGTGCATCAAATTCATAGTGTAAGCCAAACATGTCAGGGATTTTACAATGTTGAAAGAAAACATCCCTGTGGCATACCTCTCCTTAAATCCAGATGCTTTCCTATATACATTCGGCCCTCGTTTATCGCGGTTAATCAGTTCCAGACTCTACCGCGATAAGTGAATTTCCGCGAAGTAGGATTCTTTATTTATAAATAAAATATTTTCGTAGTTAGAGCATAGAAAACCTGTTTACGNGATTCTTTATTTATAAATAAAATATTTTCGTAGTTAGAGCATAGAAAACCTGTTTACGACCTTCTAAATACGGGTTTTAACATTATTAGAGCCCTCTAGACATGAAATAACACTCTTTAGTCACCATTACACTCGTATTACCCAATATATATATACAGGGGTGTATAATTGACTCAGACAACCGAGCGCGCGCTGTATCATTTTCACTGTCTCTATCAACTTTTTAATGAATATATTTGAAAAAACCGCGATAGAGTGAAGCCGCGAAGTGGCGAGGGACGACTGTACCTATGTTTCCAATACGTTCTCCACAACCATTGAATTAACACCTAAGTGGTGATGGTGGCCACCTTGAGAAGTTAAGGAAAAACAGGTATTAGTGATTGGTTTCTGACTTTTATGACACCCTGTAGATGAGATATTCAAAGCTGGTCTAGTCTAATTCCACATCTAATGGATACATGAGCATGGATTATTAAGGAAGGTAGTAATTTATGATGAGTGTTGAAGTAAGAAGGTAAACTAACTTTTTATATTCATTACATTTTTGCTACCTGTGTAAGCATCCCAATTCACATCATCAATGTCAGGCTTGCCCCATGATCCCAAGTATATCATTGTATTTTTTTGTGCTTTTTTGTCATTCCAGCTCCCACAGAGGACATAGGGTGATGTAGTGACATATTTATTGATCATCTTGTTTGAGCTTGAGTTTAAAAATTCATACTTTTATGAGTCTTGAAACAAAGAACTGGTAAAGATGGCAGCAGATCTGAGTGAGCATCTCCTCCATTACTTGGATGAACATGAAAGCTTCAATTCCCTCAATCTGGCTGAGGAACTCGGAGAGGATCATCAACGCATTGTTGGTGCCATCAAAAGCCTCCAGTCCCTTGGAAATGTAAGGAGATCCCTTCACTACTGATTGAATTTATATTGTCTAAACTTTGTCACTATTTGACATAAAAAGTGAGAAATAAAAAAGTGCAACAGGCTTTGAGAGTGTTTGGTGACAGTAAAAAAATGATGTTTTTAAATGTGTGCCATGAAAAAATGTTTGTGACCAAAGAGCATAATGTTATGCTCAGAATGTGTCATCTATTTTCTGAAGTGTCTTATCAATCTAGGACAGATATTTCTTGGTCAGATATAGCTACACCAGTAGTGACTTGTGATATGCAGCAGTAGTAGTTGTTCGTTGGAGACAGGGGAGGCCAGCCTCCTCTGTCTCCACTGATGAACCACTACTGCTACATATCATGAGCTGCCACTGATCTACACCATACTTCAATTAAGATTTTAATTCACTCTCATCTAGTACTCAACTCAAGAAATGACTAGGTAATAGAAGGGAGCATCAGAAAGTGATGATATATGTACTTACTGAATCAATATCAGGCTGGAGATGTGTTGATTACCCTCATAACCCTGTTCAATTCTTTTGTTTGCTCTAAAGAGTTTCAAATGACCATCTGCATGATGTGATGGACATGTCACAGATTCTGTACCAGTGTCCTTTTTCATGACATGTCTCTTTGTTCTATTATTTCATCTGGACTGAAAAGCTTTTTTTTTTTTTAATAGTTGAAGAGGGGTCAAACCTTGAGTTTAATTGAAATGGTTGGGTCCCGATTCAGACTTAGATTTCCCATTTTTCATGAGCTGAGACTCATCTCTGTATTAACCAGGTGATAGAGGCTGAACAGGAGAGTGGGAAACAGTGGGAGCTGACAGAAGAAGGGAAGGAAGTGGTAGAGCATGGAAGTCATGAAGCCCGTGTCTTTCATGCCATTCCTCCTCAGGGAATCCCTCAGCAAAAACTCTTGGTCTCTTTCTCCCTTTCTCTGTACTTTCTGTCCATTTCTTAAAAAAAAAGCAGATAACATTATTATTTGTGTTATAGAAGGAGGTTCCGAATTCCAAGATTGGCTTCAGCAAAGCCATGTCACTGGGCTGGGTGAAGTTGGAGAAGGGGGGTGGGGAAAGTATGGTGGTGAGGAAAACAGAATCCATAGTTGACGATGTTGCTGAGGCTCTCAGGAATGTCCTCAATCTCCAAGTAGATGCTGTTTCCAACCAACAGAAGCAAGAATTGAAAAAGAGAAAGCTCCTTCAGGAAGTGTGGGTTTCCTCATGATTCCTTGTCATTTTCATTTTTGATCCCTGTGGCACAAATGTCAGAATATTTCTTTTCTGAAAAAAAAAACTTTCCCACTTCTATTGCCTTGCTAAATATTTTCCTGTAATTGCTCATTATCCTGTTTAGTAAAGATGAGAAAAGTGCATGTTTAAAAAAATTTGTACAAAGACCACATGTCAATGATAGGCAACTTGCCTTCATTAGGACACAGGATAGCAAGCAGCCAACAACTCTAGAAAAAAAGTAACTACTTCAGCTAGAGGAGATATAGGAAGCAGAATGAATTATTTTCTGAAAAGGAGTCAGGTCTTCATTGAGAGGTCATGTAATATTTGGAGAGGATAGAACCTGGAAACTTTTCTGTTATCCTCATATACTGAGTTTCAGTCTCTCTACATGAAACTGCAGTATAGCATGTTCTGCAGATTGTGCAAAGGTGAAACTTCAGGCTGGCATTCTCATCCAAAGCATCCAGTTCCATTTTATCCCATTTCTGACTCTTTCTTAATGATGATATATATTGCCAATGCATCAGTGCTCTATTGATAGTTCTTGTAGATGCATAGATGTTCTCAAAACTGCCAATTTGACTGCTGTTGTCTTAAGTGTGAAACATATGTTGCTCTTTTGTGAAGATTCACATGGTGGACATATAGCCATTGCTTTATAGTCCACGATTTTCTTTTGTCCTATATAGTATATGTATGATGTTTGTACCTATAGGGTGGTGAAGATGTATCAGGTGAAAAAAGGGCAGGACTTCACTTGTACAGTGAGGAAGCAGGAGACAGAATTGACTGCCGAAATGATTTCCTCTGGCTCGTGGAAGACATTGAACTTGAAGCCATACAATTTCAATGCCCTTGGGGCCCCATTGACCAAAGGCCATCTTCATCCACTGATGAAAGTCCGAGCTGAATTCCGCCAGATCTTCCTTGAGATGGGGTGAGGCTTTTCACTCAATCAATAAGGTTATTTCATAGAGATTCAAGTTGGCACTGATGTATCACCAGAGCTATGACACCAATGATTATGATTGTTTTGTTTGTCTTGATAGGGTTTTGTGCTTCACACCATATATTTTAGTATGTTATGCATCCAAGGATATCTTTAGCAACATTATCATCCATTAAATAAAAATTATTTTGACCTAATATTTTCAAGACTGGGAAATGCGCAAAATCTCAGAAAAAGAAAAGAAACATGTGTTGTAGAGTCCTACAGTCACAGTAGAGTACAAATGAGAGAAACTCATATGTTGATGAGAAACAGATGGCCAAAGGTTTTTAGCTTGTTCACTGATGATCATATGTACTAGGTACTATCATCATTGAAGATTTCAATTTAATTATTGATGGGAGTGAAGAAGGTGTTACTCTTCACTTCTGTCAGTTCCAACAAAGCCAATGCAACTGAGGATAAGACCACCCTGTCTTTTTTTTTTTTAACCCTTAGATATTTATGTTCTCTGATTTTCAATATTATCTCTAGGTTTACAGAGATGCCAACCAACAATTATGTGGAAAGCAGCTTCTGGAACTTCGACACACTGTTCCAGCCTCAGCAGCATCCATCTAGAGATGCCCAGGATACTTTCTTTGTCTCAGGTTTGTAATATCTGAAGAAAAGAATTTAAGCTACTTAACAACTAAAAGTTCTAAATTGGATTAATCATGTGCAGCCTCAGTGACTGATTGAAGTTTGTCATATCGTAATTAGCCCCAAATACTCTAATGAATCTGGTGAAGGGAACAACATTTGGCTCTCTGTCATCTCCCAGATGACAATGCTTTTTTCTTGCTGTGCAATTATAAGTGCATTGTAAAGGGTAGGGCATGATAAACATTATAGGCCCACAGCACAAGCTATTGCAAATGAATAAACTGAGGGACAGGATCACTGTTGGATTAGGGAATGTGCTTGCCTAGGTATGTTAGTTGGTATGTAGAATTGTCATTGTAAGCCAGTACATACGGGTTGATTGTGGCAGTGGTCATTTTTAAACATTTTTTGTGTTCACTGCTGCCATGTGCCAGTAGTTCTATAGCTTTGTTTTTAGATGAATATGAAAGAGCCCCAACATAATTTGCAGAAAATGTTGACAGAACTCTCTACAAATTATGAGGAAAGCCTAGTATGTATAAAATATAGTGTTCCAATACTATGGAAGTGTATTGTAGTATTTATTTTGCTCCACCCTCTGGATACTACTACCTTATCTGGCCCAATCAACATTAGGCTTTTGTTGCTCTCAGGTACTGACAATGAATGACATTTGCATCATCCAGCTTGGGTAGGATCCAGTAGAGTGGAGATTTCTTAGATAGTTTTGGTTAATTATTCGCTACAAACTTCTTAGGTTGTGATTAAAAATGGGATTAATTGGTCATAATGAAAAAATTTCATCTTGTAAAAAAGATGAAATCATGGAAAAATTGTCCCCATTGAGAAAGGCCATACTTTTGGTTGTGGACAGATCCTGAAGAAGCAGGGGAAATACCAGAGGAGTACATGGAACGAGTGAAGACAGTTCACAGTCATGGGGCATATGGGTCATTAGGGTATCAGTGTCCTTGGAGTGAAGGTGAAGCCAGGAAGAATGTCTTGCGCACCCATACCACTGCTGTCTCTGCTCGCATGCTTTATGCCTTAGCAAAAAATGTGAGAACTCCCTCAATTCTTGGTTGTTCCACAAATCTACCTTGCATTTGCTTCTAAATATGTTTTCAAATGTTCAATGCATTCATTAATTTTGTTAATCAACTGTTGCTACTTTGTGCAATGTGCCATGAAGTGATTGAACCCCTGCACTGAGAAAATGGCAAGGTGTGGAGAACAAGTAGAATGGTTACTGGAGTAGACTTTGTATCACTAAAGATGGTATCATTTCCTTATCTCATTGAACAAAATACTGATGTAGCTTTCAGAGTTTCAATTGCCACAGTTTAATTTTTCTAAAAGGGGTGTTGAAGGAGGGGTGGAGGGAACTGAATGAAGGGCTAGGAGAGGAAGCAGGAATTCTGCAACAATACATTGCAGCATTCACTTCCTTTTGGCTCAATACCCACTACCAACACCTGCAAATTTGTAGTTTGTGATTAAAGGTGTTATTTTCTTGCAGATATCACCAAAAATGAATTCCACCTTTATTTTGTCCATATCCATCCATGCAAAAATTTTCACAGTGATCGGTTAAAAAATATTTGGGGGGTTTAGGCTATGGGATTCTACTTGATTCCTGCCATGACATTTGGAAAGGATGGCAAGAACCAAACTGTCTTGATTGAAATTATGACTGAAGATGGTAATGAACATGAGTGGCTATGGTCTCTCTCCTGGTTCTTCCCACTGGCTGCTGCTACTCTTGGATTAGAAGGAATTTCATTTTCTTATGTCCCCAACTGAAAATTTAATGTTGAAAAATGACCATGGAAGTTTGTGGTAGTGGCAGTGTGAAAGACTTATATTTTCCCATATCTACAAACATGTTAAGAGGTTGCCATCTTGATCTTGATGTGATGCTGTTTTTGCTTTGTAGGGGTTCAAGCCTGCGAAGTATTTCAGCATAGACAAGGTGTTTCGAAATGAAAGCTTGGATGCCACTCATTTGGCTGAATTCTGTCAGATTGAAGGTGTTGTTGCTGAGTATGGAATGTCCTTGGCCTCACTCATTGGTATGAGCATTCACTTGATACTTTCATTCTGAATCTGTAGTCCTTCTGTCATCCCATGGTGGCATTGAAAAACATGCAATGTTGCAGGGGTCATAAAGGAATTCTTCAAAAAACTGGGCATGGAGGAGCTGCGTTTCAAGCCCACATCCAATCCATACACAGAGCCAAGCATGGAGGTGTTCTGCTATCATAAGGGCCTGAAGAAGTGGGTGGAGGTGGGGAATTCAGGCCTCTTCCGTGCCGAGATGCTCCGTCCCATGGGCCTACCTGATGATGTTGGCGTTCTTGGATGGGGTCTCTCCCTTGAGAGGTATCATCTCACTTTTCCCTTCACAGTGCCATGTTTTTCCTTTTTGGTGTTCTATCAGAATCACTTTCTTGTAGGCCAACCATGATCAAGTACGGGATAAACAACATCCGAGACCTGGTGGGACCCAAAGTCAATCTCCAAATGATCTATGATAATCCTATTTGCAGGCTGGAGAAGCACCAATGATGAATGAGAAAGTAAACTATATATGGAGATTTTCACAAATGTCTATTTCATTGATTTTCATTTTCCATGGTCATGGAGAAGAGCAAGAGCAAGAAGAACTTTCAATTGGTGATTTTGTGACCAACATGAAGTTGTCATATGGAAAGAGTAGGTCCATGGTGTTCTTGCACCTGTGTAAAAGGAACCGGTCAGAAACCTCACTACTAAGCTAGTCAGACTTCACTTTACAATAAAAGATGACTTTGGCAAAATGCAATATTTTGAGATCTTGCCAGAACCTTGTTAGACTTCAAAAATGTAATTCCAACACTTGATACCGAGGGTCTCTCTTCGCAAGGCTCTATCGTTAAGAGCTGAACTTGTACCTATGCTTGCCTGATCATGCTTTGAGAGAATTTTGAATTGAGCGGTCATGGATATTGGAAAATTGATTGCATAAGACGCATGAGAAATGTTCGGAATAGTCCTTCCCGTTAGATCCTTTGCTTTCCCGGAACGAGCCAGCCAGACTTACTCTCAAGTCAACCTTACTGCATGAGTAATTAAATTTTTTATTGAATGCACCCTCTGTCATGTCTTCGAAGGACTTTCTTCAATGGATATCATGTTCCGGGGAAGTTCGGTCGCTGTTGAGCAGTGGAAGTGGACTAACTTCCTGGTGCCTGCCTGTGGCATATTCCCCGCTCTTGGGTACTCGTGCAGTGGCAGAAGCATCATATTTTTAGCTGCCACTCCTCAAGAGGCTTTTTGGTATGTGCACGAAGTCCCTTGAGCAGTGAGCATTAGAGGGATTTTCGCTTTAGCAGGATTTCTAATCGCCTGAAATGCTAGTTAAGTTTGAGAAATAATTTTGGCGTCCGAGACTCTGTATACCCGTGAAAATGACCTGGAATCCAATCATTTTGTCTCTGAGTTATCCTCCATTTTGCTAAGAATTCCTATGTGGACGCGCTTCTTGGGAATGATATTTGAGGTGGGTGGACTTCCTGGCGTAGATTCTGTCTTAGAGAGGTATGGTTATCCGATTTTGAGGGCTGGAACGCGGTCCTAAAAGCGGGCATCTTCGATTCAGCGACGCACAGCTATGGTGCGATATCGTAAATCCAAAAGCCCCATATATACGCACCTAAACTGTTTTCATAAATACAATTAAATTGTTTGCATGTGGAATTTCGAGGCTTTCAATTGAGCTTACACAATAGATAGGGTGACATCCCATTGCTCACCATATCTATGGAGAGAGAAATCGAAGACGCACTATCCTTCACAGGCTAGTATGGATTGTCTTGAACTCGTGGAGCTCATCCTTAGGTATCAGAGTTTTCAATACCCGTTTTACCATGAAAAGGTTCAAGCTGTCTCGTTCGTGGGGGNCATATCTATGGAGAGAGAAATCGAAGACGCACTATCCTTCACAGGCTAGTATGGATTGTCTTGAACTCGTGGAGCTCATCCTTAGGTATCAGAGTTTTCAATACCCGTTTTACCATGAAAAGGTTCAAGCTGTCTCGTTCGTGGGGGTAGCAGGTAGGCTTAAGTGTAATTAAATTATTCCCTAGCTTCAGGAAAGCAGAGTAAATGAACTGCCTACCTGCCCCCGACATTGTACCGACGCTAACGCGGCTGTGTAGCCTTTCCTGGTTGGCGAATCTTTGCATCGCGAACACGTTCCTGCGAGAACATCTGAACATACACGTCGTAGACGCCTTCCTCGTGCGTTTTTAAAATTGCGGATGGTGTGGCTGATGACGTCACTCACTCTACATCCCTTGCCGTCCTCTCAAGAACGGGTAACCAAAACTTCCTATTAGCATGAAACTGTTCGAGGCCAGTATATGGTAGTATTTGACCCCCTTNATGATGTTGGCGTTCTTGGATGGGGTCTCTCCCTTGAGAGGTATCATCTCACTTTTCCCTTCACAGTGCCATGTTTTTCCTTTTTGGTGTTCTATCAGAATCACTTTCTTGTAGGCCAACCATGATCAAGTACGGGATAAACAACATCCGAGACCTGGTGGGACCCAAAGTCAATCTCCAAATGATCTATGATAATCCTATTTGCAGGCTGGAGAAGCACCAATGATGAATGAGAAAGTAAACTATATATGGAGATTTTCACAAATGTCTATTTCATTGATTTTCATTTTCCATGGTCATGGAGAAGAGCAAGAGCAAGAAGAACTTTCAATTGGTGATTTTGTGACCAACATGAAGTTGTCATATGGAAAGAGTAGGTCCATGGTGTTCTTGCACCTGTGTAAAAGGAACCGGTCAGAAACCTCACTACTAAGCTAGTCAGACTTCACTTTACAATAAAAGATGACTTTGGCAAAATGCAATATTTTGAGATCTTGCCAGAACCTTGTTAGACTTCAAAAATGTAATTCCAACACTTGATACCGAGGGTCTCTCTTCGCAAGGCTCTATCGTTAAGAGCTGAACTTGTACCTATGCTTGCCTGATCATGCTTTGAGAGAATTTTGAATTGAGCGGTCATGGATATTGGAAAATTGATTGCATAAGACGCATGAGAAATGTTCGGAATAGTCCTTCCCGTTAGATCCTTTGCTTTCCCGGAACGAGCCAGCCAGACTTACTCTCAAGTCAACCTTACTGCATGAGTAATTAAATTTTTTATTGAATGCACCCTCTGTCATGTCTTCGAAGGACTTTCTTCAATGGATATCATGTTCCGGGGAAGTTCGGTCGCTGTTGAGCAGTGGAAGTGGACTAACTTCCTGGTGCCTGCCTGTGGCATATTCCCCGCTCTTGGGTACTCGTGCAGTGGCAGAAGCATCATATTTTTAGCTGCCACTCCTCAAGAGGCTTTTTGGTATGTGCACGAAGTCCCTTGAGCAGTGAGCATTAGAGGGATTTTCGCTTTAGCAGGATTTCTAATCGCCTGAAATGCTAGTTAAGTTTGAGAAATAATTTTGGCGTCCGAGACTCTGTATACCCGTGAAAATGACCTGGAATCCAATCATTTTGTCTCTGAGTTATCCTCCATTTTGCTAAGAATTCCTATGTGGACGCGCTTCTTGGGAATGATATTTGAGGTGGGTGGACTTCCTGGCGTAGATTCTGTATTAGAGAGGTATGGTTATCCGATTTTGAGGGCTGGAACGCGGTCCTAAAAGCGGGCATCTTCGATTCAGCGACGCACAGCTATGGTGCGATATCGTAAATCCAAAAGCCCCATATATACACATCTAAACTGTTTTCATAAATACAATTAAATTGTTTGCATGTGGAATTTCGAGGCTTTCAATTGAGCTTACACAATAGATAGGGTGACATCCCATTGCTCACCATATCTATGGAGAGAGAAATCGAAGACGCACTATCCTTCACAGGCTAGTATGGATTGTCTTGAACTCGTGGAGCTCATCCTTAGGTATCAGAGTTTTCAATACCCGTTTTACCATGAAAAGGTTCAAGCTGTCTCGTTCGTGGGGGGTAGCAGGTAGGCTTAAGTGTTATTAAATTATTCCCCAGCTTCAGGAAAGCAGAGTAAATGAACTGCCTACCTGCCTCCGACATTGTACTGACGCTAACGCGGCTGTGTAGCCTTTCCTGGTTGGCGAATCTTTGCATCGCGAACACGTTCCTGCGAGAACATCTGAACATACACGTCGTGCTGTGTATGTTCATGACAAGGAATCATGAAGAAACCCACACTTCCTGAAGGAGCTTTCTCTTTTTCAATTCTTGCTTCTGTTGGTTGGAAACAGCATCTACTTGGAGATTGAGGACATTCCTGAGAGCCTCAGCGGATGGTGTGGCTGATGACGTCACTCACTCTACATCCCTTGCCGTCCTCTCAAGAACGGGTAACCAAAACTTCCTATTAGCATGAAACTGTTCGAGGCCAGTATATGGTAGTATTTGACCCCCTTCCGAATGGCTCCACACATTTCATCCAACTGAGCGACATCTCCTGTCTCAAAATAACCGCCCCTGGCCAAATCAGTGACTGAAGCGGGAATTCAGTAATTCCCGCTTCCGCCACGGTAGGGAGAGATGCAATCAATCGAAAATCACTACCTTCACGAGAAAACCTAATGAGGGTCGAGGGAAAATGTTCTTCTGTTGTGCCCTTTCCCATATCAGTTTTCCAAAATGCCAGAGCGGAAGATGTCCGTTAGGTGTGGGACAGTACGATAATGTTTCTATAGCTTGAAAGGCCAAATTGGAAACGGTATTATTCTCTTTTCAAACTGCATATGACAGAGTGAAGATTCTACTTTTGAGATGGAATCATTGTGATACCAGATTCGAGTGCAACTCTGTATGGAACCATAGAGTGAGATAACGGGCTTTCAACAAAAATCAGAAGCATTTTTGTGAAACAAGAAAGCCCAAAAATGCCTATTTTTGTTAGATTCCAACAGCTAATTCCTTTGCATTCTGTACATGTGTACGGAAGTTCATGAATGGGAAACCCAATACTTCATTTTTTTAATATAATATGATGATGCACGAAGCAGGTGGATGGCATTGAATTTATTGCAATGATCGGACTGCGAATTCAGGCATATCAACTTCTAAATTGCACAACTGCTCTTCACATGACCTAATCACGCTCAAAGCAATTGGGCAACTTCACGGCATACATTTTCTCACACGGATAGAAAATCACACAGGCAGATAACTTGGGTACATGGCCATCAGTCTGCTCGACCGCTGCATTAACACGATGGGAAACGGGAGTGGGTCAATCGCATCCTCACGGAT